GTTGACAACGCTGCCTCTGTGTTTAGTTTCGAAAAACTATGAGATTTATTTGCCTGCAGTTGCTTGGGAAAATGCATTTTCGGCATTCGCGACTGTGTCTGTGGCGTCATTTATCTGTGTATGCCTCATGCCCGGTTGCATGTGCGGCAAAGCTCTTTGTGGACGATACTCTAAGGTATGGCGAGGCATATTGATCACCAGATCCAAGTAATAACTACAAAAACTCTATAGAGTAGGGTTTAAAAGGTGGCTAATGGAACAAGTACTAAATTAAAGAACAAATTGAGAGGGCACTAAAAATGCAAATGAAGTATGAAAGATCTGCAGGGGCAAGTAAGGTGAAAGTAAGATAATCCAAGTACTGGGGATACCTGCATATCATTCCTTATTCATTCAAATCTCTTCAGCCCGAAACAACTCTCGAAGAACCTTAAACAATTGCTAATTCGTTCAGCCAGCAGCTTGAACCGAGTTTATACAACCACTAATCTCATGGAAACTATCTCGAAATGTATCTCATTACAAACAGAGCATCTGGCATTCGATTTCGCCATGCCCCCCCTCTGCTTTTTATAATACTTTTGCACGCAAGCCAGAGACAAGACAAACCCAAGGAGGAGCCACATAGCAGAGTGGAGCACAGCAGAGCAGAGCAGAGCGGAGAGCACTAAAGCAAACCAGACGCTGATGGATATCATCATGTAATACCCGAGAAATGTGTAACGATGAGGCAATCGCAGCTGGGCTGCGGCAGTCGTCGGATTATGCTACTACGAGTAATACTAATGTGGCAGGGAAGAAGTCTTTTTGTGGCAGGGAGAATTGACAATGCTAATGGGGCGGCGGAAATCAGGCATTTCCACTCATAATTTGCATAAGAAATCAGCTTCGACTCGGCACAAGGGACGGGGACTGGGACGGATAGCCTATCTCAATTATATGTCCAGACACGTTCCCCAGACGTGGACAGAACGCATCCAATGGAGCTTAGGCTGTGCTGTGCTGTGTCTTGACCGCTTGCAGCGCATAGCGGATATCAATTTGTACAACTTTGGAAATTCTCAATTCAGGCAGAAAACTACAGAGAGAGACTGGGAGAAAGGCGGAGAGAAAAGGAGAAAGAGTCGCAAATGATATGCAACGAAACGAAAAGAAATTTCTTCCTGCCCCAAAACTGGCCGAAACTGCAAACTGGTCTACCGTGACCCACTAAAGCCTCTCTTTCGGAAAGCTGAAAGGCTCTGAAAGCCGGCCTTAACACTGCCGCCTGCCCCAATGGTGGAAAGGGACCCTCCGCTACTCTCTCAGAATGAATCAGTTGTTCTTATAATACAAACAGTGGCAACTCATTCAAGAGAAAGTTCGATTAATTATTTTTAAGCCATGCGTAATACCCCGACGGCTGTTTAACCGGTTTAAGCGAAAAAAATAACTGCAGCTCTTTAATTAATTACTAAATACGAAGTAAATCTTAGGTAAGACTTCTTTCCGGAAAGTAAAAAATTCAATAAAAAAGAACATGGCAGATATTAGCAGGATACTTTATCAAGAAATAATAGATATATAGAAATAGATAAATAGAAATAGAAAAAGGATATATTGGATATCTAAGCCATCTTTTGCTATCTTTAGTGATATGCGAATCTCTTCTTTACTTTTTCGGTTCAGAAATATTGTATTCTTTCGGAAGAATAAAATTCATATTTCACTCTTAGCTAATGGATTGTTATTTGAAGTATTTCCCACAAAAGAACCCTTCCTTCATTGCCTTTCTATTGTAAGACGTACAAAATATTTATAAATTCTTCACCTTAAAGAGTTTAGTCTTGTAATTTCTTGTTTCTTCAACGAGTTGCCGTAAAATGTTCACCTCACACAAGGGTTAACGGCTCTGGCTGAATGCGTTTTCGGCAACTAAACAAGATCAACCGCAAAAAGAAGAAATAACAGCAATAAGACACAAGTAACGTGGCTTCATTGGCTTGCGGTTGAAAATTTCCAGCTCGAAATGTTGCAACAAGAACAGGCGATGGTAGAAAAACTGCAACCAAAAAAAAAAGACCCAAAACCTCCAGAAAATACAGCAGAAAAGTTTGACTTTATCGAGTCGAAACTTCGGATACTCTTAACGAAAAGATAAAAGCTATAGATGCTGATGAGTTGAGTTATAAATTCGAAATATAAATAGGAATCCAACGCTAAGAAGAGAATGTCGGCCACCTGTTCTCACGCTCATCCCAAAGGTACATATATATGATTTTATGCCGAACCGCTCATAACTCTAGGTGACCCTTATCTCTCTTTGGATAAAAAACAAGACTCTCTGAGCTCTGGGCTTAATAATTTCCTAGAAAAGAAGATTACAAAAATGTATAATTCACTATATTTTCAATTGATCATTGCTCAACTTTTAAATGATCTAATGATACCCTACTGTTATGGTCAGAAAACAGTAATGTCTGCAGTTTGCGGCAAACAAAGCGACACAAAGCTGGCAAACTTTTGTAAATGCAAATTAGAAGACCGAGAAAAAGCACAATAAACGACTCCAGAAATTGGAACAGAGACTCCAACGACTACAATTCTGATTCCGAGGCGCAGATTGAGAGACCAGAGATAAACGGTATTCGTGCGATGGGCCCGGAGGCTGTAGGAACTCTGAGTAACTCTGCAGAGTGATCTATGTACTGGTCAGCGGAAAGGCAATTTGGGTTAACTGCAACTGCAACACGTTCGAATTTGGTGGCTTCCAGTGCCAGTGCCAGTGCCAGTTGGTATTTGATATTTGCTAGCTGGGCAGACGAGGCCAATTATTGTGCGGAAATCTACGAGGCGCTTCATGAAATACTGTCACTTTTTTTCATCTCTCTTTCTCTACCGGTTGGTGGATCCATCCTGGATGGTTGGAGACTGCTGGCCACCTGCTGTGGTTATGGTCAGCCACACAATTATAAATACTGGTAACAGAGGGGGTGCTGCGGGGGCTGCGGGTGCTGCGGGTGCTGCGGGTGCTGCTGGCTTTGAAGGCATTCTTGCGTGCAAACCTTGACCATGAAACACGCTCTATGATGACGTGCCCATAAACGCTGCTGGCAACAATGCCAAACATTTACGTGGCAATTAAGAGCCGCAGAAAATTAGTTAGAAATTGAAATTGCTCAACTACCCCATGCCATCGCATCGCATCCCATCCAGTACCGTACCTCCAGACCATGTCCAGACCAGGTCCAGCTCCAGGTCCCGCTCCAGACCGATGGTCAATGGCATTCACTCACTCACTCACTCGCTCGCCGGCCGTTGTTGAGCAAGCCCCCAAGCCTATGCGACAGTTACAACTATATATGTGGCCAACAGGTTATCCAAGCCGAAAAAAAACAACAACAACCGTTTTGGACCGGCCTCCACCCGGGGAGCAGAGCGGAGCGCTCCACCAAAATGGAGCCGTTTGCCTCGCTCTGTCAATTAGCAGCAACGCGACATGACAGTGCACTGAACTTGTAACGCTTTGAAATGTTTGTTCGCTTTTTTCTGTTCCTCCTTTTTCTGTTTGCTGTTGAAAAATTCAGTGTTTCTGAATTGTTAATGTGACACACTTGGCGGATAGCTCCAAAATATTCGCAATTAACCCATTTTCCAGCTGATTTCTGCGAAGAGCTGCGCAAGAGTACGAAATCTTGAGCGGAAATTCTATGGTTTCTAGGGAAATTAAATAGCTGTGGGCAGTCTTCAGAGAGATTCAAAAATACACCAAAAGCTAATAATAATAATGGATGACAGCCTGTTTCTCTGTGTGTTCTGGCACATTGATTATAAATCTTTTTTGTTTGATTAAATAAGATGCAGATACTCTCAAAGAAAAAAGCTCTGTGAATCTAATGGTTACACTTAGGTTTAAATATTTGTGCCACTATATTTGCACCGAGAGTTGTAGTTCACTGACATTAATATGACAATATTTGATCTAAATACACATCATATATAAAACATATACATTTAAATTAATTTAAATATAATATATTTATTTTAGAAGTTTTACAGATGCTGGGAATAAAGACTTCTTTATGTGTTCGTTATGTGGCTTTGTTTTTATGTCTTTGTTCTATGGGAGATATCATTAAGTCTTGAACAAGTAAATACATTTGAGAAGATATACAATGTATGTATAATTGCGATAGCTTAATTCCTTTTTTAATGGTTTATTTCATTAATATAGTAATTAAAGGACTCTCAGATAAATACGAAAGTAGTTTTACAATTCTATTAGAAACCATTTTATTACTGACGCACCAACAAATTTGTGGGCCAAAACAATTACCCCCCAATAAGACAGAGAGAGAGAGAGAGAAAGCAAGATTTTGGGAACCGTACAGTCAGTCCATGCTTACAATCATGTCACCCAAATTGTCCACTGATTAGTGGATTGTAGTAGTTCAGTGGGTTAGATCTGGAACTCCCCACAGCTGGTAAATGATGTTTGCAGATAGAGCGAGCGGGAGGGCTACTGTTGTTCTCTGGAGAGCTGGAAAATTCGTACAAACTCTAGAGAAGTACATGTACATAGTGGTGGATCGTACGTGTACCTATGGAAGGGGATACATATGTACATTGCACAATGGACCAGCGGACGATGAACAATAAATTAAGTATATTCTGCGCACTGGGAGTGCTTCTCATCTCCATAGCGACAGTCATGCGTAATTCCCCTTTGCTTCTTTAACCAGTTTGAGCGAAAACCCATATGCAGTTCTCAACTTAGTTAATATTTAAGAATATTTAATCGTTGTCGAAACTTCTTTCCGGTGAGTAAACAAGTGAAAATATTACCCTTAACGATGATATAAACAGCTCTCACTGGGATATGGTGTAAGGAAAATTGGAAGTCAGTTTATTAGTTCAAATGTTTGTAATTCAACTTTTCATGAATTAAGCTTTAGTTTAGAATGGTGATCGTTTTTCACGTTGGACAGCTTTATTAATGTCGACCATATCGACCCTTTATTTCAGTTTCTCGTCCACAGATCCTCCAAATAGGTGAAAGAAATATTTGTTGAAAACTGCGGCTTACCATCGAACATCCAAATCAACGTAAGGAGATATTCCCCCGATGGCAGTATCACGGGCAATTCAATGCGATGAAAATCGCTTAGCGTCTGCACACCCTACGATTAAAACCAAAAATGTTGGAGAATCGAATAATGTACACGCTCAATACGTACCATATAAGGACATGAATGATTCAGGTTGGACGAATCCTTCAACAGATTATAGACAATCTTGGCTACTGGGTGGTGGCGTCTCCTCCAAAACTCGCAGCAATCCAAGTGGAAGTCGAAGAGAAACGGTTTGTATCCATTCGCCCTCTTCCACATTTTAAATTTGACAGAGATTTTGTACGCTGGCTCTAAGACCGTGATATTTACATTCAAACTTGTTTTGTTGCGAGAGTGGGCCTTCAGGCGACACGTATGCATGATGACCCATGATTTATTGTAGGACTCGCACTTGGCATTTGTCAGTTTAACCGACGGAGCCTCCTGCCATAATCTAGTATAAGTATTATTACGATTAGAAACTTGCAGTAGATACGAGTACTTACAGAGCCAATGAGAAATATAGTTAAGCATATTATTCCAAAAGAAATCAGTTTGTAGTCCATTGCTTGCCATCAGAGTTCCAATCTGCGACTGCCGATGAAAGGTCTAAAGGGAAGTGAATGTTCATGTCTGAATGGCAATTTTTAATCACTCCATTTATTTGGGGTTACCAGGTATCTCTTACGTAATGGTTCGGATTGAAATTATTTCCTAAAATTGTTTGATGTTGACGAGTGATTTTTCGGATTTGTTAAATGCTGAAATTGGGCGTAACGTTTTCATACATAAGTTCTTCCTTCATTGCCTTTCAAATTGTCCACTGATTAGTGAATTAGTGTCTGTCCAAAAGTTTAGTGGGTTAGGTCTGGGGTCCCGCGTGCTCCCCACATCTGATGTAGATAGCAGTAAATAATGTTTGCAGAGAGTGAGAGAGAGAGAGAGGAAAGGAGAGCTATTGTTGTTCTCTGGAGAGCAAGAACAGCTGTACATATTCGAGTAGTACCGTATAGAACGTCTGTATAGTTGGGGATCATACGTGTGCGTGTTCTGTAAATATGGAGACGAATATGTACAATGGATCAGCAACGAAGAGCATTTGTGTTTGGTTTGTGAGGCTGCAAAGTGCGGAAGCGGACGATGAACAATAAATTAAGTATATTCTGCGGACTGGGAGTGCTCCTCATCTCCATAGCGAGAGGAAATGGCCAGCCACAGTCCAACGAGACGGTGGTGACATCCACCAGCAGCACTGAAACAGCACCAGTAGTGCCTCAGAAACTACTGGTGGCCATCCACTATGAGGCCCTGTGTCCGGATAGCGTGTACTTCATCCGTCGACGGCTCCACGATGCTCTGCTGGACAACGATTGGTGGCGATATACTGAGCTGAAGCTGTACCCCTTCGGTAAAGCGGGAGTGAGTACTTGGAGCTATGGAATCATCACGTTTGATCACTATTAATTCCCTGTCGTTCTCGTTCCAGTTCTACAACAACACTGCCACTAAGGAGATGCAGGTATTTTGCCAGCACGGATGGGAGGAGTGCGAACTGAATGCGCTGCATGCCTGCATACTGGAGACACTAGAGATTCAAGAGGCCTTCAAGCTGATCTACTGTATGCTGCGGGCCTATAGCAACCAGCTGGACAAGTGCTCCAATCACCTGGGTCTCGACGTGAGTGCGGCGCGGAAATGCAAGCAATCGCGCAAGACCCCAGAGATCCTGGCTCCCTACGGCAAGGAGACTCTGAAGCTGGGCCTGTCCTTTGTCCCCACCATTGTGTTTGAGAATGTAAGTTTACCTCGTAGATTCCCTCCAGACTTCTTCTTTAAATCGATGTCTCAATCCCTTAAGGTATTCGAGCCATACGAGCAGAGCAGCATTCGCTACAACTTTGAGGGTCATTTCTGCAGTCAATACGAGAGAAAGTTCAACATCAGGCTGCCCACCTGCGTCTAGCCAGATCCTATTTAACTATGATGAGCATGCAAATGTTTTATTATGTGGTAAAACCAATAAATTATAATTACACCCGAGATACCAGTTTGGCTGGCTGGGTTTTCCGCTGACTCAGAGACTCCGCCTGCCCCAAAACGGCAGTGAAAAGCTAAAATTGGATCATCTTATCGGTCGCATTTGCATAGGGATCCTATGATTAGCCTCAGACGCAGCTGTAAATAAGATTAGAGCCCCAGTGTGATGGTTCCGCTGCTCAATTTTCAGCGTAATTGCGCGCAGTGCTGTCGTAATCTGTGTTGTTCGGCCTTTGTTTTTTGGACGGACAGACACTGACGCAGGCTGGCACACGCTCAGCGGTGGGTCTCGAGGAAATATATACAGCCCAGGCCCCTACACTCATAGGTTGAATGAGAGACCCCCGACAGGGGCGCTGGTTACCAGAGGGCTGGGGAACAAAATGGTACGGAAATCCGCAATAAAACTACCTGGATGGATACTTTAACTGGTTGTGTGAAGAGCCAGACCGATACCAAAAATCATATATGATCCTGTTAATCGATACTCATACACAGTCGACACTCATCTCTACATGAACGATCCTTATACACATGTCCGTTGATTATTCTTAAGATAAATAGCAGTCGAACGACAGCTTCCTTTATCAGTAAAAGTCTGGGATATGCGCGAAGGATCCACGCGAATCAATGAAAATAAAAATATTTCAATTCTGATTCATCGATATCCCATCGAGCCCATCGATCATTCTCCCATCGCTGCGATAGAAATCTTTCAAATCAATAGAAAAATCTGTCAATATTTTTCTACACTTAAACTATGTATATGTACTCAACACAATAATTCTAAATTGAACCAGCTAAATTGGATTTGCGAATCTCTGCGAAGTGAAAGAACCCTCTGGTCGCGAATTCAAGCCACGCCACTGCCGCCTTGTGGGAAACACTACGACATTGCGGCTCATACAAAATTTGGACTTTATTTCAGTGTCAAGCTGTCGCTGGCGCTGTGCGGGACTGAACGATTTAAAGATCATCAACTCAATCTTCCCAATGAGGGCGTTTGTCTTTGTCTGTCTACTGATGTGCATTATGGCGCTGGCCAGTGCGAGGGTGAGTGACATTGCTCCCTCCAGTTCAGGGGACAACAGCGATCTAAAACAAGAACATTGTGAATTTTGCAGCGTCATCATGCACGAGAGACAGAGGAGAGTGACAAACTGGCCGTAACACTGTACTACGAGTCACTTTGCCCCTACTGCATGACATTTGTCACCACACAACTGGGTCCCTCGATGCTTCTGAATGATCGACTGCCATTCGCGGATCTCCAGCTAATACCCTACGGCAATGCACATGTGGGTGGTTCTCTGTCCATCAGAATTTGAATTTAGCATTAAATCCCATATAATTGTAGCTGGATGACGAAGGAAATGTCGTGTGCCAGCACGGCGTCGAGGAGTGTGATTTGAATGCCTGGCATGGCTGCATACTGCAGCACCATAACATCACCGAAGCTATGACAATGATTGCCTGCATGATGCGCGGAAAGAAGAACAGACTGGACAAGTGTGCCGAACACTATAGCATCGATGTGAGCGACGTCAAGGAGTGCCGGAATTCTCGTAGTGTGAATGATATACTAAAAGAGTACGGCAGGGAGACGGCCGAGGTGAAGCACCAGGGCGTTCCAGCCGTAGCACTGGATTACGTAAGATAAAATATGAGCATCGGATATCGAATGTGGAAGATTAACTTCTCCTCTTCCATAGGTGTACAACGTAGAAGAACAAAGCAGTCTGCTTAATCATTTCGATATTGTTTTCTGTGCTCAATATGAGCTCATGTACCATTTAAAACTAAAGAACTGTGTGTAATTTTTAATAAAAAAAACTATTGAGAAAATCTCGTACCAATCTATCAACTAATTCGATCGTATAAATCGTTCTTCGGGTGTATGGAATTCTTGTCGCACAATTAATTGTTTGGCGCCATTTATTTAGGAATATCAAAATTGAGCAATTCTCTTACGTTTTCTTACGTTTTTTTTATGTGACCTATTTTGCTAAAACCCTTTTTTAGACAAGATCCAATAAAAACAAGTGTTTAAAATAAAGCAATCAAGTAGAAAATATTTTATTTAATCGCATAAAATTATGTGGGCATGGCTGAGAGATCTACCTAGAAAGAAATATTCGAAAGAACATTAAAAGCGAGGAATATGTATAATAAAACTTGAATTCGTCAGTATATTTACGGTATATTTTTAAAATGAGACGTTATATTTCGGTATTTTTCTGAGGGTCAGGCCGTATATCACACATGCGCTACAAACCCGCGGTCACACTGATCGAGTAATTCGCGAAACAAGTTTTTTTTTCAATTTTATATCAATTGATAAATTGGAAAAAATCAATTAAATAAACAGACAGGCCAGTGAAAAGCGTGCGATGAGCGAGACCATAAACACCGCGGCGCAGTTTCCGTCCTTCGAGAAACCGACCGTGCAGTTCAACGAGCGGGGCTGGGGACCATGCGAGCTGCCGGACACGTTTAAGGATGTACCATACCAGCCGTTCAGCAAGAACGACCGTCTGGGCAAGATCTGCGACTGGACGAGCACCTCGAACAACGACAAGAAGTACCAGAGTAAGTGCAATACAGATGCCGTCTGAAATTCGCATTTCCTCACATTTGTCCGCCCGCAAAGTGAGGTTATGTGCGTGTGTCGTGGCAGAGGTTATAGCGGTGTTGTGTTTTTGTGTTTCTTTCAGACAAGTACGCCTCCAGCTTCGGCACTGGCAACCAGTACTCGTACTACCATGAGGAGGACGAGACCACCTTCCACCTGGTCGACACGGCCCGTGTGCAGAAGCCGCCCCACCAGCGCGGACGCTTCCGCAACATGCGCGGACGCGGTGGTCGCGGTCGCAATCCCCGCGGCGGCCTGAACAACCACCACCACCACGGCATGACGACGCTCAACGGCAAGAATGTGAAGGCTCGTGATACCCGTCGCGGCATGGGCAAGAAGTTTGGTCATCGCGGTCCGCCACCGAAGATGCGCGAATCTTCGGTGGCCGTGCGCGCCGACTGGGCTTCCATTGAGGAGATGGACTTCCCCCGTCTCATCAAGCTGTCGCTGCCCAACATCAAGGACGGTGTCGATATCGCCACCTGCGGCACCCTGGAGTACTACGACAAGACCTATGACCGCATCAATGTGAAGAACGAGAAACCACTGCAGAAGATCGATCGCATTGTGCACACGGTGACCACCACCGACGATCCGGTTATTCGTCGTCTGTCCAAGACCGTGGGCAATGTCTTTGCCACAGATGCTATTCTGGCGACCATTATGTGCTCGACGCGCTCCAACTACTCCTGGGACATTGTCATCGAGAAGGTTGGTGACAAGATCTTCATGGACAAGCGTGATCATACGGAATTCGATTTGCTGACTGTGAACGAGAGCAGCGTGGAGCCCCCAACCGACGACGATAGCTCTTGCAACTCGCCCCGCAACCTGGCCATCGAGGCCACCTTCATCAACCACAACTTCAGCCAGCAGGTGCTCAAGACCGGCGACCAGGAGGCCAAGTTTAAGTTCGAGGAGCCAAATCCCTTCATCAGCGAAGACGAGGACATCCAGGTGGCCAGCGTGGGCTATCGCTACAAGAAGTGGGAGCTCGGCAGCGATATTGTAAGCTAAAATCCACGACTCCTCGAATCACTACTCTAACGAATTCCATCCCATTTGTGTGGTAGGTTCTGGTGGCGCGATGCGAACACGACGGCGTTCTGCAGACGCCCAGTGGCGAGCCACAGTTCATGTCGATCAAGGCCCTCAACGAGTGGGACTCCAAGCTGGCCAATGGCGTGGAGTGGCGCCAGAAGTTGGACACACAGCGCGGCGCCGTGCTGGCCAATGAGCTGCGCAACAATGCCTGCAAGCTGGCCAAATGGACGGTTCAGGCGGTGCTTGCGGGCTCCGATCAGCTGAAGCTGGGCTATGTGTCGCGTATCAACCCGAGGGATCATTCGCGACATGTCATCCTGGGCACGCAGCAGTTCAAGCCGCACGAGTTCGCCACCCAGATCAATTTGAGCATGGACAATGCCTGGGGCGTTCTCCGGTGCATCATTGACCTGGTGATGAAGCAGAAGGACGGCAAGTATCTGATCATGAAGGATCCCAACAAGCCGATCATTCGTCTCTACGATATCCCCGACAACACATTCGATTCCGATGACTCGGACGACGGCGAGGGCGATGATGGTGAGGGTTTCCAGCAGGTCTACAACTATGCGAACAACAGCAACAAGATTTAGACGTTACGCATTCAGCACCCACTTACAAAACCACATCTGGGCTGGGTGTGCGTCAGAGCCCTTTAATTAACCATAATATCGATCGATAACCCATGTCCTTTCGCAGAAGTAGACGCGTTCTAGGCGCTAGTTGTAAGAATTTGTATCCGAGTTGTATCTGCAGCATATTCCTAGTAAAACACAGACGGCGAAACGACAAGACCTGCTCTTTACTGGAGGGTGCCTCAATAGTTTCTTCAGCATTTATACAGAAATTGGTCTGATTCATTTCGCGTGCTGTTATAAATAGAGACATTCGACTGCCGCATGGTACGTAGAGCAGTCGTCGCTTTAACTCTGGCGGAAGCACAACCGAAATGTGCTCCGAGAGAAGGCTTTTGATCCTGCTGCTGCTGCCGCTGATAGTCGTGGTGCAAGCTGCTGCCTTGCTAGCCTTTGCCAATTGCACTCCCGAAGAGCGTTGCATCACCCTCAAGAGGTGTCCGCAAATACTGGACAATATCAAGGCCTACAATGTGGCCCAGCGGAAAATGATCGGCCACAAGCAATGCGCTTTGAAGAGTCAGCACAACACACTCTTGGATCGAGTCTACGTCTGCTGTCCGGAAGAGCCTATCGTTGCCCAGACGGGCAACATCCTCCCCATCATTGGAGAGTGCGGCGTGACCTTGCCTTCCTTTCGCATCGTTGGGGGCACCAAGGCAGGTCTCTATGAGTTTCCATGGCTGGCACTGATCCGACACGAGAAACCTGTGGCACTGCAGCTTAGGACGCTCCGGGATTTGCTCAAATTGTTTGTCGTGAAACCTACATCCTTCGATTGCGGAGGGGCACTGATCAACACTCGCTATGTACTGACCGCAGCCCATTGCGTGGCCAGCCGAAGGCTCATCGAGTCGGGTACAGTGGTGGCCAGCGTTCGTCTCGGCGAATGGAACACGGAGACTGCTCCCGACTGCTTCAACGAGGTGAATGGTAGAGAATTCTGTGCTCCCAGCCACCTGGACATAGAGGTCGAGAAGAGGATCGTCCACGACGGGTATGTGCCCGATAGCAGGGACCACTTCAACGACATAGCTCTGCTGCGTCTCAAGCGGAGTGTCAGGTGAGGAGGCTCCCCATCTGGGAGACCATCGGCCTAATGAAAGCTCTCCGCTCTTTAGCTACGCCAACAACATCCAACCCATTTGCCTGCCAGATAGCCAGAGGCTGCACAATAGTCACTTCCAAATAGCCGGCTGGGGCCACACCGACTTGGACAGGGCGAGCCCCGTCATGCTTAAGGCCACCATTATGGGCCGTGGTGTGGATGAGTGCCGCGCAAGATATGGCCCGATGAGGGACACCCAACTGTGTGCTGGCGGCACCGATCATAGAGACACCTGTAACGGGGACTCGGGCAGCCCCCTAATGGCCACCATCAGTGTGGGCGGCCGTGAATTCGTCTATCTCGCAGGCATCACCTCGTACGGACCAAGGCCGTGCGGTCTGCAGGACTGGCCGAGTGTCTACACCAGAACAGGGGCCTTCACCGAATGGATAGTGATGCATCTGGAGGCTTGATCTTGCCTTGAATGCGATAGAAGTGTGAGAGGAACGGCGCTGTATTTAGTATCTATGTATAACGTCATAAGAATAACTGGTTAAGAAATTAACGACTGCACATTGGATCTAGAGATCATTAGATGGGAGAGCATGCTCAGCACAGGCAGGGATTTGGACAGGTGGCTTGGGATTGGCCCGCATATTTTGCACAATGCTAATTGGAATCTCCGGGAAATCACTCCACATACATTGTACATACAAACATATCAGTATGCAATTCTCTTTCCCGTAATCTCGGGTCACCTTTGACACGCTGCCATTTGGCTCTCGCGATAATCTCGCGGTTGCTTATCTCGTCAGCGTCCCACTAATGGGACTTAAACCGGCTCAACCACCGGAGAGTGCCTTTAGTCTCAGCTTGAAGCCCCGAGCGATCAGATCAATCGTAATCAGCCAAGATGCTGACGGATCCGAAGCAGATGCTGATGCCGATGCTACTACCGCTGCTGCTGCTGCTGGTGGCCGGTGCACAACGATCTGGTGAGCTGTCCTTCGAGGGTCCAACAACCGGTTTTGATCAGTGCATTCATTCAATGCAATTTCATTTAGATGCTGCGCAGATCACCTTCGGCAGCTGCATCCCGCAGGAGAGTGCAGAGCGCGGCTTCTGCGTCCACATTGAGAGCTGTCCCTTCCTGTTCACCATCCTCAATACGGATAAGACGACCCCGGCCCAGCGCACACTGCTCTCGAGGAGCCAATGCGGCCTGGACAACAGGCGCGAGGGTCTGGTGAATCGCATTCTGGTGTGTTGTCCGGTGAGCAAACGCGCCGGCCAACTCACGAATGTCCACACTGCGGCAGAGGAGCACTTGCCGGGCAACGTTCTGCCCGGCAATGAGACATGTGGCATCCATTTTGCCGACCGCATTGTGGGCGGCCACAACACCACTCTCTCAGAGTTCCCTTGGATGGTCCTGCTGCAGTACAAGAAGCGTGAGTGGAGCAATAATTTGAGGGAATAGTTCTCTAGATCATCCCTTTCCGAATTTGCAGTTTTCTCAGAGGATTATAGCTTCAATTGCGGCGGGACCCTGATCAACTCTCGCTATGTGCTGACTGCCGGACACTGCCTGGCCAGTCGCCGACTGGACATGTCCGGCACAGCCCTGCATGCTGTCCGCCTGGGCGAGTGGGACACCAATACGGACCCCGATTGCGTGACCGAGAAGAATGGCCAGAAGACATGCGCCCCCGGGCACATCGACATTGAGGTGGAGAAGCTAATCATCCACGAGGAATATGTCCCCAACTCCATTGACCAGATGAACGACATAGCTCTATTGCGTCTCAAGCAGAGTGTCAGGTGAGTGGATCTCATCTAATCTGATCTGATCTGGTCTCTATGTAACCGTGGCCTTGGCAGCTACTCGGATTATGTGCGACCTATTTGCCTGGGCGTCAATGGCGATGTGCGGACGAATCTGTTCGAGGGCTATGCCATGGACGTGGCTGGCTGGGGCCTGACCGAGAAGAAGGTGCCCAGTCCGTGGAAGCTAAAGATCACCGTCGATGTGTGGAACTTGAAGACGTGCCAGGACAAGTACAGCCCGTACAAGTACAAGCTGAACGATAACCAGCTGTGTGCTGGTGGCAAGGCGAATGTCGACACCTGCGGCGGCGACTCGGGCGGTCCCCTGATGGTGGCAATCAACACTGGCGGCAGGGAGGTGTTCTATGTGGCCGGCATCACCTCGTACGGCCCGGATCCGTGCGGCCTACCGGGCTGGCCGGGCGTGTACACCCGCACGGGTGCCTTCATCGATTGGATACAGCGTAAATTGGAGGCATAATAAATAATGTTTGCTAATTTATTCACATTTCTCGCATTGGCTAGCTTAAAATATAGAACTAGTGCTGGGACAAGGAGCGTTAAACTTAAATTATGCTAAGCTCTCTCCTCTCTTTCTTTCAAGTGGAATGCGAAACAAAAACAGATACAATAATCGAAACTAGGCACGACATGGGTTCGTTACATGGGATATACTGAGGGGGGATCGGGGCGGGGGCGACTTAGGGCGACAAGTATAAAATATATTTTGTGGCATTCCATACAATACAACATTTCGCTTAGCTAAACGCTACTTAATATACATACATGTTTGCTTCTCATATATTCTAGAACGCATCGCTATTATTTCATGGATGTGTGACAATGTAGAGCACATTTAATTTAGTTTAAGAACATTTTGCATAACTAAAAGGGCGATAGCCAGCAATTCGAATAGGCTTAAGAATATAGAGATTCGATAGTGTATGTATAGTATAGTGTATAAAACGCTGCCCATTGCCTGGGGCCAGCCAGACTTCCATCGCGGGTGGCAAGTCTTCTGAGTTGTGTGGGGAGGCACCACTGGGCATGGGTAAGCGCCGAGAATGGCGAGATTCAATTAAACTTCCTCTGGCGCAGCGCGTGGCGCTTTTCCAGTTTCGATGGCCATCCACTCGGTATTCGGCACATCAATAGCTTCCAAAGCGAGCTCTACAGCGTCCAAGCCAGCATCAGGGGCATTCAATGCGGTCTCCGGGGCATTCAACACGGAACCCAAGGCATCCAATGCGGGCTTCAGTTGAGCTAAAACGCCCTTGACCGCAACACAAAAGCCACGACTGCACGGGAGTAGGGGAAACTCGGGCACCTCGCAGGGGGCCTTGTAGTCCGCAGGCATTTCTATAATATGGCCATGAGCCATGAGTTACAATATCAAGACGCTTTTATTGCACTACCATACTCACCCTTAATGTTGGTAATTCTCAGGCGCTGTGCCTCGGACGAGTAATCGGCCCAGGCCTGTATGCGGTCATACAGCTCGGTGCCAAACTCCTTGAAGTGCTGAATCAGTTCGTTGCGGAAGATGGGCGGCGGATTCTGCAGCTGCTTTACTGTGGAATGGGCTATTTTTATGATAGCCATTTCATTATAGACCCGAGAGTTCTCCAGGCCCAGTTGAGTGCCTAAAACAATGGGGAAATGGAATGAAATTGAATGTGTTCTATGGTGATTCGAGTGCTTAAATTCCTACCGCGTTGCTTCTCATAGCCCGCCTCATTATAGTAGGGCTCATCGACCAGTATGAGACCCTGTATCGAGACGAGCACCTGCAGCATGGTGCTGGTTATCGACCACATTTCGGTGTCGCGCCCTGCCCAAGTGCCCAGCAGGGACACGCACACCTTGCCCTCTTCGTACAGGTTCGGATTGAGACGTTCTGTGCAGTAGCTGGTGTAATGACAGATTGGCGGACCCCTCGGGTAGTCGCGACCCATTTGAAAGTCAAAGAAGAACAAGGCGTTCTGGTAGGGCGTGCGCTTGGGCCCCACCATCATCACCGACATGAGATCCATCCGATCCTCATAGGCTCGCACCTTGACGCCCGGCGGCAGCGACAACTGCAGCAGGGAGTACTCGCGCTGAATAGATCGCTGGTACTGCGACTTGTTGGCCGGTGTCACAGGATTGCGGATGAAACGATGAGAAAGCGGGGCATTGGGCACCACCTCGAAGCAGTTCTCGCAAACTGGAGAGTGGCGAGAGGGAGAGACAATTTTGGGCGTGGGAGATGGCGATGATGAGGCCATGGGACGATCGATGGGTGGCAGCGACTCGGACAATGCATTCAGGTCCAATGTGTGCTCCATGGCATCATCGCACTTTTCCAGTTTCTGCTCAACATCCATCTCAGCTACTGGCTGCGGCGGCAACACCACCTCGTTGAGGTCGATGCAAACGTCTTCTGGGTCAACATCATACGTGCCAGGATATGAATGTTCGTCTTCGTCTGTATCCTTAGCTTCTTGGGCTGCTCTGCGTGCACGTTGAATTTTATCTTCAACCAAAATGCGGCACTTGGACAATTGTTCCTTAATAAGCATAGCAAACATCTCGATGGTTTCCGTGCCGCAGGTGTCGGAAAAGTCAATGACCACTTGTGGCTTCAGCTCAGGCGACGGCTGGTTCCGTGGCTCGACAGGATCACGATCGCTGGCCGAGTTGGTCAACTCGCTCATGCTATTTTCGCCCCGCGAGTGAACGCCAGAATCATTCTGGTGGGAGATAGAAAAAAAACTTTGCTCAAGAAGCAATCGCGACACGGGCTACACGAAAGTATCCTTACCTTTGCCTTAGTCCGTATGTCAAAAGCGACAAGAATACTGTTTCGTGCAACTTCGATCAAATGATTGTATTCGCATCGATATTTGGCAATCAGCTTGGCATTTTCACTATTCTCATCCTCGTTGGACGCTGTAACCTCCTCTTCTTCCTCCTCCTCGGTGACAATATCGCCAGTTCTCTTGCATTGAACTTCGTCTATTTCGGTTGATGATTTTCGCTTTGTGGGCGTCGATGTCGACGTGGGGCTCACAGGAGGGCCAGCCACATGGAGCCTCAGTGGCGTCGTGGCCAAGTCCAAATCAGGGTCAACGTTTATTATGTTTTGGATAGCCCTGTAGGTTTTGGAGATGCGATTCGAATCCAGCGCGCGCCCCAAATGCTCCGGCCCAAAGAAGCTGCTCTTCAGCAAGCGGTCCAGGTAATGGCAATTTGTATAGATGGCCACCAAATCGATGTGAACCTCTGACTTTTCGGCATCCGGCAGCAGATGGTGGATCTTCTCCAGCTTCCCCAGAGCATCGCTCACGCTATCGATGCCCGTTAGGATGTGCTCTTTCTCCGTGAGCTGTCCGTGCAGACTATCCTCCGACTGGGTCTCCCACGAGTTATCCGATCCATCGGACAGATAGCCGTCGTGGTCGTGATCATTCTGGTTGATCTCGAATAGATCCTGCGGATAGCACATGGTAATATGTCCCATGGCCCACCAAACGCGCACACGGCCATCGGGAAAGTTGTCAACCACCTGGCCAGCAGTCGATTTGGCATTCTCGTTCGTAAAGTTCGCGACCCTAATGACCATGGTGCCGGGTCGATACTGATAGTCGGCGTGATCCTTCAAATCGTAGACGCTTAGCTCCTCCACCTCTCTGCATATGGGACTGCAACAGAGAAAATCAAGTGAGCGGAGATTCTCCTGGTCAGAAAAAAGCACAATACATACACTGTATCCTTTTTGGTATAAATGTTGAACCATTTGACTTTTGAAATACGTTCGTCATGATCCACGGACTGAATGACGCCATATTCGGTCTGCGAGAGGCTATTCTCGTTCGCCTTGCTCACAAAGTCGCCCGGAAAGAACTCATGATTGTCCAGATGGTGTATGGGATACAGATGTGTCGACGGGATGTTCTCCTCTACGGTTCCATCCTGCCAGACGATGGTTGCGGTACTGCGTACCACTAAGGTCTCCACCACAATCTCATCACCATCTCGGGGATCAATATGTTTCTTAACAAATGGTGATGAAAGTGTCTTCTTTGTAATCTTCTTCTTTTTGCCGTAGCGTCGATTGCCAATCCGCACGGTGATGCGCTGCTGATTATTGGTGGCTGCCCCACCACCACTCGTGTTTGTGGCGGCATCCACTGGAGCCTCATTCTTTTTATCACTTGCCTCAGGTTGTAGTCCGGCTGCCAGCTCCTCTTGGCCGTCCGAATCCATAGTTACGTCCAAGAAGTCTTCGTCGCCATCGCCATCCTCAATCAAGTCGTAGGTATCATCTGATGAAACCTTTGTAGACGATCCGCTGCCCGGTTCCCGGACTTTGGCGGTGCCTTCGGTGTCGCCATTTCGGGAGCGCGAATTGCCCGATTTATTTAAATTACGTCGAAACTTGGACGTATTACGGGCACCGCCACTATTGGAGCCTTTCGGCTTGCTCCGCTTGGTATCAACAATTCCCTGATTTTCGTAAATAAGCCTATATTTAGCCGCTGGAATGGGAAATTAGGTGGCGTGAGTGATTATATTCGTCGAACTGTTGACAAATTAACTTATTACTTAGTTCTTCCTCCCAGTCCTGTTTATTGACTAGTGGATCGTTTTTCGTATATTTGAGGAAGAATCGATCGTGAATTTGTAGCATGTAGGATTCATAAATATTGAGGCGCTTCATTTGCACCAACTCTTCGCCCGTGACATGAGTTTTTGGCTGTTTCAGAGGATCGCCATTGCAATCGTTTGTAGTGGCACGGCACGTCCAGGCCACGTCCACGCCAAGCGTTTGGATCGATTCCACGGTATACTATGGTAGAATTTACAAAAAATAAAAGTTAAACCCTTGCGTTTGGTTGCATTGTGCGTTGTCTTACCAAGGCTCGCTTGCGATTTAAGGGCAATGGTATGTCCGGAGTGAGATTTATAAAGCGATCGAAGGGCGGCAGACGACCCACAACCACGTTGCCGGGAAACAACACATGGGGAGTGAATATTTCAGGCAAATACTTTGAATTCGCATCCCGGAACTTGTGGAAATAGGCCGAGCCAATTTCCAGGCGCCCCCCGCTGGCGGTTCTGCAAAGTCAAACATCCACAAAAAAGCCGCAAATGAAAATTAAGCAAGCCAAAGGCGATTGTATGTTCGGGCAGGTTACCTGAGCACGGTCACCTCGTCCACATTGATGGTGGTGCCCACCCAGGTGTCAAAGCATACGGGTATATCACGAGCCCATTGCGAGATCGGACGCAAACGCTCCGCAGGTACATTCTTGATGACGAATTTTGAGCCAAGCACCTTTACGTCCGCGCTCACGTTTACATCCCTCACATAGCCAGACGGCCCGGTGAGGACTCTCTGGCCGGGCAGGCGGCGACGCACAACATCGCCCGGCATCAATGTGCGGTCCGCCAGGCCGATCTGCAGAGCCACATGTTGGGGAAACCGAAAAGAAGCGGAAAGAAAAGAGCAAACAAACACGTGTCAATGCCGAAAAAATACGAAATACGAAAAACAGAAGAAAAAACAGTTGTTAAAACAGAACAGTTATGAACAGTTATTTGTAGGCCAATGCCACGGCCAATGTCACTGGCAGTTACATAACCTCAACGAGGGTGGCTGTACTTACGGCTGACTCCATTCGAATCTGTTCCTTGCCATCGGGATAGAAGGCCACTCGCACCTCGCCCGCAAACAGCGGATCATTATCATCCTCGTCCTCCGATGAGTGCGACTCGGTCGTCTCAGTTACGACGCCAAAGTGCACGCGTCCCCGTGAATCGATGCGAAAGATCTCGTCCTCGAAAAAGAAACGGCAAGGACTGTTCTCGGCACTCTTGGACGCCGCTATTCCGCCGCCCGTCATCCGGTTGCTTGATGGAGCACCGCTGGCCAGGTCCGCCAGGTTCTTGGGGAGGGTGCCAACATTCTTGTCAGCACCCGCCACACGATTTGACATATTATTACCAATGATGGACTGCGTTCATGGAAGATAAGTTATAGCTTGCGAGAAAGTGGTGCAACGTCTTTGGGCTCAGTTGGACAAACAATTTGCGTGGCGAGCTCCTACCGACATAACTCTTCTATTAACGATTTAATCTAACAATTATGATACTGAAACTCTCTGCGAGTCTCTCTTTATACGGAAAACCTCGAACACGGAATAAATTTTTATGCGGCAAAAATCTCTCTTTAATTCGAAAACTTTGCCGACTTCTTTTAAAATTAAAACTATAAATAAAACATTCAAATACTACAAAAACAAAACGAGAAAGCAAATGCGAGTGCTACTTATATTTAGTGTGACCACGGATTTGTCGATAAAATATACGGTCTGACACTCAGAAATATACCGTAAATCTACCGATGAAAAATATAACTTAGCTCACTTAACGCCGCTCTGCTGTTACAGTGAATACTGTTTGAAAATGTTTGACGTTTCACCTGAACTGCGCTAGAACTCGGCAAGTTTTCATGGAGTGTATTTTAACACCCACTGGTTGACCAGTGGGATAATCGTTCTCTGCCCATGAGCGGAAATCCTTCATTTTGATATTCCATTGAAAATTACACTGATGAATTATTTTTCTACAAAATCGGCTAATTTTAAGTACCTTCCTCTTGTATGGACATTTTTATACCATGTATCCCTTTTTATTTTGCGTTAAAATTAGGTTTTCCTATTTATGCTGTTTTTTATAAAAATCTCAACCGCAAAACCTATTCATGGTGTCTGGAAGAGACCATAAACTGCAGAATTTCGTTAAGACAGCTTTAAAACAGGATCTGGCTAATTTGTGCATTAAATGCAGCTTAAGATGACAAACAGGCCTTAAAAGCTCCAATGACATTTCTTTATGTTCTTAAAAACTCACCATTTTATTCTTGGACCGTTGATAACGTATGAGTGATTAATATGTTCGGAGAATTATAATAATAATAAGTAAGGCGATACGAATCAGAATAACTTCGGAGAACTTTTGAGAATATTTTAAACAGTTTAAACAGTTCTTTAAAAGTAAAGCAAAGACTACTTTGCCAAATTTATAAATAATTTCTACCCGTAAGTAAATAATTCTCAACCAGTAATTCTGATGTTGCTGAGACCAGATTCAAAAACCGAATGGCAAAACTGACAAATACGGCCATAAATCGCAGTGTATCTGTCATGTTTTCGTAACCTACTTAAACCGTACTTAAACTTATATTCTTAAAAACTCACCTCTCATACAATAAGTAAATATGTCCGTTTATACGTCAGAAAATAATACAACTCGTATATAAATTTCTGTGAAAATGTGAAAATGTGGGGACAAATTGGTTCTGCAATAGATCTCAGAAATTTGTTGTTTACTGAATTATTCACTTGTGTGTAGTGCACATACTCCATGACATTCTGAGAAACCCCAAACAGAATGAAAAACATATCATCCAAAGCCCCCTATATATGTACATATTTGCATGGATATTATGAGAAGTAAATGGGTATAATCTCCCACCGCGAAGATACAATCTACTACAACAGCTACGACCTTCACGAGGTCCAAAGTTGTCTCCATTTTGACCATAGAAAAAGGTATACATTTTATATTTATATTTTATTTTACTGAAATTTTGAATATATTCGATCTAATATTACAAACCCCTACATGTTATCACACCTAACGATCATGGGCGGTGCGAACTGAGAGTGGCGCACACCGAAGGAGTAGGCCTGTCCAGATTTGCCAGGACGGTAGTACATCAGATCGTAGTAGTTGGGGCCTGGACCCAACCCCTTCGAGGACAGGCCCAAGCGCGGAGACATTGAGTAGAGCGGGGCGCGGTTCAGGTTCACATTGATGTCGCCAAGACCGTAGGCAGCAGGGCCAGGTGACAACCCCTTTGTGGTCGTCTTGGTTTGCAGTCCCCTAAAGGAGTAGACGGATGGGGACAGAGGATTGCATTAGTCATCTACAGAGTGGCTGCTCGGACTGATCTACTCACATGCTGTAGGCCGGAGCAGATGTTTTCACGGTGTTGACGTCAAACTTGTAGGCATTAGGGCCAGGTCCATGCCTCTTGAAATTGTAGTCAGTGCGCAGACCCATGGAGTAGGCCGGTGCATTGATGCCCGTGAAGAAGGGCTTTAGATGCACATCATGTGCCCCGGGCCCGGGACCAATTCTTTTATCTGCAATGCATGGATGAAAGGTAACCTTACCACTGCACTGACATCCATTACCATCAAGCACTTACCAATGGTATTGAGCCGGGGCGCCATGGAGTACTCCAGGCCGCCACCCTTGCCAAATCTCGTCATCTTGTCGACCATATAGGCACCGGCGCCGGGACCAATGTTAGACCCCGTTGCGTTGGTGCGCATTCCAAAGGAATACTGGGGCAGGCGCTGCTTACGCGAATCGTGATGATCGTAGCCCACAGTGGGGGGCAGCATATAGGCGCCGGGGCCGGGTCCTACCGAAAACACAACACATTATTCCAAATTCACATTCTTATGTCTTAAACCGTTCTTTTGTTTTTGATTGGCTGTCAAATGTTTCTCACCTATAGGTCGCACTGCCATTTTTTATTTTGTTAGTTTTGGGGGAATATTAGAAAAAATATTTTACTAAAAATTTTGAACTCAAAAAAGAGTTGTAGGCCGAACGGATCCCGAAAGTAGAATGAACATTTTCTTGGCCCCCCCATACTAGGATATCAAAATATATATTCCACGCCTACTTCATCTGTAAAAATGCAAAAAAACATGGCACAACATAGTCCGTTTAATTTAGTCAATTTAACAACGAAAAACTCTTCAAACACAAATTCTTGACGTAACTAAGTAGTCACCTAAAAAGGCTTCATTAAATACGTCGTGTGTCATATGTAGCTACTATTTCATCAGCGCACGCCATCAAAAAAAAACCCACTGCTTGCTGTGTTTTGAAAATAAAGTCTCAAGGAAGGAGAAGGCTCCCAAAAGTTCAGTCATGGCCAAGGTGCACATCACGAATGTTGTGGTGCTGGACAACACCAGCAGCTTCTTCAATCCCTTCCGGTTCGAGCTGACATTCGATGCACAGGAACTGCAGGAGGACCTTGAATGGAAAGTGATATACGTGGGCTCGGCTGAGTCCGAGGAGCACGACCAGGTACTGGACACCATCTACGTGGGCCCCGTGCTCGAGGGTCGTCACATGTTCGTCTTCCAGGCCGATCCGCCAGATGTTAGCAAAATTCCAGAACAGGATGCCGTAGGTGTCACTATTGTGCTGTTGACGTGCTCGTATCGCGGGCAGGAGTTTGTGCGCGTCGGTTTCTACGTGAACAACGACTATGAGGAACAGGAGATGCGAGAGAATCCGCCACCCAAGCCCCTGTTCGACAAGCTAGTGCGCAACATACTCGCCAGCAATCCGCGCGTCACCCGCTTCCAGATCAACTGGGACGACAGCCACACCAATGGCAATGGAGTGCCAGAAAACAACGGGCACAGCGATGAAATTATGATCGATGGTCCATCCACATTGCAGCAGCAGGATAGCATGCAGGACACCCTGCCCATCGATTACGGCATTATCGCCCTCAACGAGAACTCAAAATAACTGGCAATGAAATGAGATTCTTTCTGGCACCCCAACTGCAACGCACACAAACACACTCTTGAGCGGGCGCAGACTTGACGGAGACTCCCCCCACCCGACCTCGACCCCTTAATTATAATTTAAAAACAAACGCTTAAATATATGTATACATTAAATTTACTTACCTCATCTAAATAGCAAATACACAGGGAACATAGTATGAACATTCTGGATCTTTATTTGAAATGTTGATTACGACTATCTTGACTGCGTTGGAAACATTGTTAAGTGATTTTGGCTTTCGGAGATTCGAGAGATATTTGAATGAAAATGAATTGAATGCCTGGAGACTAGGTTATTATATCCCCTCCTCTTCCTTGGGTACAGAAAAATCATCTCCCAATATATTGCTTTAGATGAGACAAAAAAATGAAGAACGAAAGTAATTCTTTTCATTGATTGCTTAGTATTTACGAGGAATCGTGGTCTATTCCACGTCCATGGAGTTGTACAGCTGTTTATAACGGGACCCACGACCACTGCTTTGGAGCAGCATGTCATTATGTTGTTCTCTTAGGATCTGCGGATACGAAAGATAGTTAAGCAAAGGTTTGTTTTATCAGAGATAGTTCTTATAACCTTTGGATCGTATTTGTGATAAAGATAGACCAGAACGGGACCATAGATCATGTTGCATATGCCCACTATGCGCATGAGCCAGGCAAAGCCAAAGGTCTGAGCCAACTCCCCACCAATCAATGGAGCTATAAAGACAGAATAGGATTCGATGAGATGGTATCACTTGCAGAGGTCAGGCTTAGACTTACCCAAGCAGTACGCCAGGCTGACGGATGTCTGTTGTATGGCATAGACAGTGCCGTAGCTGGAAATGGGTGTGGTGACCTCACCCTGCTCCTCTTGGGCCAATGTTGCATCTACAAAGGTGGCCAGCAGAGGAACCAGAGCGGCATCAATTACCCCAATGCCAAGACCCAGTGCAAAATGCGGCAATAGTAGTTGGCTTACAGTCGTCGCGCTGGGTATCTGCAGGAGAAGAAGGTATAAAATATGACAATATCACCAGGGAATATTTAAAATACGTACCAAAATCGAGGCGATTCCCACCAGCAGCAGACTAATGCAGGAGACCTTCACCTGGCCAAAGCGATAGGCTACGCTTCCAAAGAAATTGGTGCCCACAAAGTAGCCCACCGAATCGGGTATGAAGACAGTTCCCAGCTGCCATTTGTTCGGCTTCAAGTACTGGATCAACCAGATGGGCAAGCACGGCTCAAGCATGGCCATCGTGGACGTTGAGAACCAGATGGCCAGCACGATGGCCAGGATCATTTTGCACTCGAGGAGTGGCCGCCACTTGGGAGTTTCCTCCACCACCACCTCCGGCTGGACAGACAGATCCAACGTCAGCAGCTGCAGGCCCAAGCTAAAGAATATAAACGTTGAGAGTATGATGAAGGGGGCCGATTTCCCCAACAGATCGTAAAGGATCCCGCCGAACGGATAGCCGAGCAGCACGCCCAATGCAATACTGCCCAAGATGATGCCCATTACTTTGGAGCGACGTGCCTCCTCGGGATAGTTTTGGGCCACCAGACTCATGCCGCAGATATTGATGCACGCAGAGCCCACGCCCTGAACGGCACGAGCCACCAATAGCGCCCAATAGGATTCGCCCACAGTGAACACTGGAAGTAGACACACACACACACATCAAGTCGCCCATTATTGCAGTGATACGAGCGAAAAGGGGCTTACCCAATGAGGAGACGAGCAGGAAGAAGGTACCCACCACAATAGGCAGGCGGTAGCCAAACTTGCCGGTCGCGTTGCCGACAATCGGATTGAAAATTAATTGCACCAGGGCCTTCATGGCGAGCAGCAGGCCAATGGATCCGTTCTCCTGCGCCAAGGTCAGGCTTCGGTTGCTGTTCGAGTGCACATTGCTGGCTATAAGGCTCTCGGACGGTACCTTGCTGGTGGAGGAGGTCGCATTAGTGCCGCCCGACTGGACGATATCTAGAATTAGTGCCGTGGCCGTAGCCGTAGCTGTGGGCGTGGGTGTGGGCGTGGGCGTGATTGTGGTCGTTGTTGGGCGCTCTGTGGAGATCTGAAGCAACGTAAAATTGACCATCGATTTGCCGGGAATGGGATGTTTGGCAGTATGTAGCTGATGGCCGCCACCGAGCATCTCTCCACTGCGATAGAGATGGGACAGCTTTGAGGATGGGGTTGTCTCCTCCAGGCTAAGCACCAGCGGAGTGGAGGCCTCCAGATCCAGTCCGGCCAAGTAATCTGGCAAAATAGGCACTGCAAAGGGGAACAAATCGTTCTAAATACTGATTAAGTTTATCATTGAATAATTTGTCTTACCAATCACGGTCAGCAGCATGTTATCTAGTAGCAGGGCCAGGTAGACAATCACTGCAATTAGACATCGATTACTGCTGCCATTACCGGGCGTTGAACAGCGTCTGGCCGGGGCATTTAGCTGGACAGCAGCTGCTTGGGATTGCTGCCTCTGTGTCGAGTGCTCCGACATGGCGGGGGCACGATAAGCTAATTGTAAATCTTCCTCACAAACTGATTGGCACTGACAATTTATGCTGCCATATGGTTCGATGGATTTGCTCGGTTCGCGCCACAAAGTATGCTACACAATATTAATGCAGACGCACGCATACACACACACACACTCGCGCCAGACAAACGCACTCACACTACGGCGATAACACCAGTTGAGCAGGAACCAACAACAGGTGGGTGTTGCTGCCTCAACGACGAGTGTGCGAATATTGAAAGGGAGCGACAAGTTGCCGTTCTATTTTATTGACAGCACGCGAACCGAGGCGACTCCCGAGTCCGAGTCCGTGTCCCGAGTCCCGAGCAGGGATGATGGGCCCCGAACGAGGTTTCATCTGGGCTTCGTTCTGATAGATTTTCTGTGCCTTTCTGTTTGTGTTCATCATGAATTTCAGGTTGACCTCTTCGAGCGGTATAGGCCAAAAGTTATCCAAATTGTGGCCAGTGTGTGTGTTCGCAGGCAGAGTCTAGAAAAAAGTACAACGTTATTAAGTTAAAGCCAGTTAAAATGAAAAGCTTTAAGCCGTATTGTATACGTATTTATTTCAAGAGTGGAAATATTCCATAAAATAAAACGAAACTAATTCGAGATTCCCATAGATTTGTTGATTAAAATACGTACACGCTTTAGGAACTTGTAACCAATTTCGGAGATAGAGCAATCATTATTCGTTTCTGGCCTAATCATAATTTCCTTCATGTTTCTATTGGCTTCGGGATAGTTTTTCGCTGCGGGACACACACACATGACTTTAAAGACATATCCGTGTCATAGGATTCTGTATTATTAGCAGCACTTCCAACCCCCCTTCTGTCGCAGTACGGCTCTGCGGGGCGCTTAAAGCACTGGCTTAAAGGTCTCGCGCGACCCGGTCTGAACGAGTGTTTGCCACGGCCCCGATAAGCAGGCTATGGATTTGTTAGCCTCTAGTCACATTTTCCGTTTCATTGAATTTTCAGCCGTTTAAATTTAGTCCCCACAAATTTGTGACGGATTGCTGTGGCGCAGTGTTGCGTTCTCTTTCGAAATTGATTTTATGAGCAGCCAGGGAGAGATAGATGCCCCGGTTCCCATGCCCATGCCCCCTTGTGCTTGACCTATTTTGAGTCAAGATGAGGTATAAATAGACCTCTGAGCTCCCTGAATATTTGCTATGGTAGTTCGCCCTTTGTGAGACCGGGACAAACACCTGTTCCACCTGTCAACATACGCCCACTCGAGTTTGGGACGCCGATTAGGGTAATCTAATTCCCCTTAATTCACGATTAGACAACAACAGCTTATTGTTAACCCATATATTCGTATATTTTGAGACTCTAACTAGCGAACACTCTTTGTTTTGTTGTTGCCGAGACCACGTCTATGGAAATACGCGTACTCCAGATTGTTAGCCTTTCCATAGCGCGTCACGGAGCCCAGGTGATACGCCGCCGGTCCGGGTCCCACAAGATTTGGACGATTGCAAGACCGAGATTGGGTCCCGAAGGAATACTGCGGGCTTCGCTGCATCCTGGAGTCACACTTCTCATAGCCGAAGCAGCTGGGCAGCATGTATGCGCCGGGTCCGGGTCCTTGTAAAATATTTCGATATTATTTAGCTAAATTTAAAACATCAAACTATCGTTTAGATCTTACCCAAAGGTTTATGCGACATATTGGAGTTAAAATTTAAAAATTTAATAGAAAAACTTTTCAAAAAAATTTTAAAGTTGTTTGCCGAACGGGTATCAAAAGGGGAATGAGAACTAACATCAAATCCTATCCCCAACCAAAACAGAACGAAAAACCAAGGCCAGCTGGATGATGAACAAAATGAATAAATGAAAATCTCAATAAACTCCTAATCATAATCCTAATCACGGGCATGGTATGGCCTTATCGGTAATGCTTCTTGTCTTGGCCACTCTGGGGGGAGTGCCCCAAGTGTTTAGATAACTTGTCAGCTTGTCCAGCTCATAGCTCCAGCTGCGTCCGTGTCGGTCAGTCCGTTGGCAGCCAATCAAGCGAACGGTCAACGAGGAAAATGTCTGCCAGCAAAGGAGTTTTGCTGCTCGCAGTGCTGCTGCTGATAGCTGCAATCGGTAAGTGGCAATGAAAACCAAAAAACCATAAAACGAAATTAGAAACTGGAATTGGCACTTACCACCTGCACGGTTCTTCAGGTGGCCGGGGGGAAACGGTGCCGTGCAAAGTGAAGGATGCGGAGCAGGGAAAGGTGTGCGTGTGCACGGCTGATTATTGCGACTACTTGGAGAATCCCACGCTGACGGACGACACAGAATTTGCACTGATTTCCAGCTCCAAGCAGGGTCTGCGATTCGCCACATCCCACGGACACTTCGGGACAGAGGACACGTACACTGTGCAGGACTATACTGTGGAGCCCGTTCCAGAGGCCAAAAACAAGACAATTTTCTCCCGCTTGCTGGATCAGGCTTTGGACAGTGCCTTCACCTTGGAGTCGCGCGAGAGCACCATCACCCGCTTCGTGACACTGAAAGTGAATCGCAGCAAAACCTACCAGACAATGACGGGCTTCGGTGGTAGCTACACCGGAGCCGTATCCTACCTAGTCGACAATTTCAAGCAGCCTGAGCTCGCCGACCATCTGTACAAGTCCTTCTACGCTGAAGAGGGGCTGGGCTTCAATCTGATGCGCATATCGATCGGCGGCTGCGACTTTGACCTCGGTGCCTGGGCCTATGCCGAGGAAGAGGACAACACAATGCTCGACGGCATGGACGAGCTGGACGAACGCGATGTGATGCGTGTGGGCCACATAAAACGCCTCGTCGAGGTCTCGGGCATAAAGAATCTGCGAATTAAGGGTGCGGCCTGGAGTGCTCCGCCTTGGATGAAGACGAACAACAGGTGGACAGGATTCGGACGTCTCAAGAAGCAGTACTACCAGACCTGGGCCGACTACCACCTCAAGTGGGTGAAACTGATGGAGGATAATGGACTGCCCATCTGGGCCATTTCCACAGGCAACGAGCCACTGAACGGAATCTTCTTCATGTACTTTGTCAAATTCATGAGCATGGGCTGGACTCCACAGACGCAGGCCATCTGGTTGAACGACCATCTGGGGCCAACGATCCGAAACTCTGAGTTCAAGGATATCATCCTTTTCGGCAACGATGATCAGCGCTACTCCTTTCCACACTGGTTCAAAATGGTAAGGTCCTCAGCCAGCATCCAAGTTCATGGTCATTATCGCTCATAAATTCCAGATGAATTACACACGCCCCAATTCGGTTGATTACCTGGACGGATTATCGCTGCACTGGTATTGGGATGAGATTTTCGGTAGCAGTCTTATCGATGAGACCACCGATTACGCGCCCGACAAGCTCCTAATCGTCTCCGAGTCGTGCATCGGCGATAAGCCCTGGCAGAGGTCGGCCCCCGTCCTGGGCAGCTGGGAGCGGGCTGAGAAGTACACGCGCGCCTTCTTGGAGAACATAAAACATGGCTTCCATGCCTGGATCGATTGGAATATCATTTTGGACGAGGAGGGCGGCCCCAACTATGTGGACAATACAGTCGATGCCCCCGTCATTGCCAACACCACAAGTACGTTCACTTAATCCAGAATTTTACAACGCATGCACATACTAACCAATTCCTTTCAGCCAATGAGGAGTTCTACAAGCAGCCCATGTTCTATGCCATGGGTCACTTCTCCAAGCTGGTGCCAGAGGGCTCCATACGCGTCGATGCTGTGCCCAGCAACGTCAATCTGGATTGCGTTGCCTTCTTGCGGCCGGACAAAAAGATTGCCGCCGTGCTCTTCAACAGCGGACGCGCCGATACAAACATTACTGTGGTGGACAGTGAGCGCGGCCAGTTTACGGTCAATGTGCCCGCCAAGTCCATTCACACCTTGCTGTACAGCTGAGCACATTTTTGCAATAAACAAACTTTTATTGGATTCCATGCGGTTTTCTTTGGCGGCCTACAAGTGCGAAAGGGATGGCTATTGTCTTGAAATTGCAAAGGGCTGGACAAAGGTACATTTGAAATAGGGTAAGGTTCAATTGGTACATATTTTGTATGGAAACTGTCTGGCATTTATTGCGGACAATGCCTTACCTTGCTTTTAATAGACCTTGGGCTTCACTGGGAGTGCGAAAGAGACAACTAGTGTTGTCCGAACGATACACCGTTTCGTAACCAATAGCTTTCGATTACCGGGCGATAACCAGATCACCTGTTTCTTTGCTTCGCGCCACCCCTCTGACAGTTTGCATAACTTTTACTTTTGATTGCGTGCGCCGATTTCCAAGTGGGGATGGATCGTTGCTTGTCGTCGTCTTGCCGGCCGCTTTATCAGATCAACAGCTGGGCCCGGGTCAAGTGGCTCACAAAAACACAAACAACTTGAGCGAAATTCGGTTTCCCGCGACGCTTGATTGGAGAAACGCTTTCGTAGTCCGCTTGGACTCAGTCGAGTGGACGCCTCCAATCGAGACTCATCACCTCTGCTGCAGTTTGACTTCCCCTGCAAACTAAAATGAAAGAAATTTGGCTGTGCTTTCTTTTTGCAGTGGCCGCAATCTCTGCCCAGCCGGGAGGTGAGTTAAACACAAGTGATAAGTGCCTACCTGTTCACCTCAACTGTACGATTTGCAGGTGCTGCCTCAACGCAGCTGCCCTGCGATCTCCGCGAGACACCGCATGGCAGTGTTTGTGTGTGCAACCGCACCTACTGCGATTACTTGGAGCAGCCGGAACTTAATGAGGGCTCACGGATTGTGGTGATCAGCTCCAGCAAGGTGAGTGGGCAGGCGTCAAGAAATCACATTGATTGATACATCTGTTGTTTTCTAGGATGGCCTGCGCTTCAAAGTAACCACTGGGGACCTATCCAACAAGGCTCCTTTGGTGGTGGAAGACAAACAGTCGACTGATGAGAACTTTCACGCGGAGGCCATAGTGGTTGATCAGCACAGAGCCTGGCTGAACTTGGCAAGCATTCCCCAACGATTGTGTAGCTAATCTAAGCATTCAAAATTGTCAAACATCACTTAATCAGTTTGTATTTGCAGTTATCAATGCCAGCGTCAAGACTGTAAGCGTTTCAGTTAAGCGGGAACAGCGTTATCAGAACGTAACCAACTTTGGCGGGGCCTTGACTGGAACTGTCTCTCACTTACTTCAACTGTTGCCGACAGAGTTGCAGGACCATGTCTACAAGTAGGTTTCAAATCCTGACAGCTCCACAATTCTAGATGTAATCTGTTTCCCATTGAAGATCATATTACCACGACGATGGCATTGCCTACAACAGCATCCGCACGTCCATTGGAGGATGTGACTTTGATTTGGAGCCCTGGGCGTACAACGAGCTGTCACGAAATGATGTCGCCCTGTCGAACTTTACTGAACTCGATCCGAGGGATCTGCAGAAAATTGAACAACTGAAACGCCTCAAGAGTGTGGCCCGAATGGAGGAGCTAAAAATTATGGCTGCTGCCTGGAGTGCGCCTCCTTGGATGAAGACCAACGACCGATGGACAGGCTTTGGCCAGCTAAAGTCGGAATATTATCAGACCTGGGCCCTCTATCATCTCAAGTGAGCGGGAAAGAACTTTTACACACTGTGAATGCCATTCATTTTGGGGTGGAATCTGTTGCAGATTTCTCGAACTGATGCAGTCTAAAAATATGCCGATTTGGGCCATATCCACTGGCAATGAGCCGCTAAACGGCGTCATCGGCTTCTTCTTTGTGCACTTCATGAGCATGGGCTGGACGCCCTGGCAGCAGGTAGGAGGCATGGGCATGCCAAACGTTCAATCATGATTCTGGCTATTAAGCATCTTGAAATATTTACGACCAGGCAATATGGCTGAGCGATCATCTAGGTCCGACCATTAGGAACTCGACGCAGAAGCCTGTGCTCATCTTTGGCAACGATGACCAGCGGTACACGTTTCCCTCGTGGTTCCGCAAGGTGAGGTGGTGCCTGAAAATGTTTCAATTAAACACTGGCGGCAGTTCTCATTTATTTTAGATGCGTTCATCCCGCAGCAATTCACTGTCGTATTTGGATGGCCTGGCCGTCCACTGGTATTGGGATGAGCTGGTTGGTCCCCAGCTCATTGATCAGGCACATGCCGAAATGCCCAACATGCTGCTGCTCAACACGGAGTCCTGCATTGGCGACAAGCCCTGGCAGACGCACGGCCCCGAGCTGGGCAGCTGGCAGCGGGGCGAGAATTACATGCGTGCCTATATACAGGATTTTCAACACAATTTCAACGGTTGGCTGGACTGGAATCTAGTGCTGGACGAGAAGGGCGGACCCAACTACGTGAACAACTTTGTGGACGCACCGATCATTGTGAATGCGACGAGTCGCAGTGAGATCTACAAGCAACCGATTTACTATGCCATCGGGCACTTCTCCAAGTTTCTGCCGGCGCAATCGGTGCGCATCGAGACGCGGATCGAGGGCGAAAACAATTCCTTTTCGCAGCTAAGTGTAGTCGGCTTCCAGCGACCGGACGGCAGTGTGGCGTTGATCGTCTACAATGGGTAAGTGGCGCGCGTGTCTGCATATCCTGCATTCTATTTTGGGCCTCATCTGCGACGGTGCCGCTTAAGTGCGTCAACTTAATTGCCTACAACGCTGCAGCGTTGCACATTTATGAATGCCTTGCCTCTAATGGATGCTCTGCTTTCGTCTCTTTTGCAGCCAAAATCTGCCAGTGGATGTGGCGCTCAACGATAGCCAAAGTGGTGCATTTAATCTACTCCTTCCGCCCCGCTCCTGGCACACAGTGCTCTATAAGTGAGATTCCAAGAAGTGAATCGAGTGGAGTTTCAAGTAAGTTAGGTAAGGTTACGAGTCCATCTGCCGCTGCCCAAAGGACCAATTAGGATAGACGACATGTCTCATGTTTGCGCGACACCACAGCTCAAGTGACAACAAAACGGAAGCCAATAAATTGCCCTCAACAGGATGGGCATGGAGATGGGGATGGCAAGGAGGATGCAAGGATGTAATGCTCGCTTGAGACTATCTCTCTATGACAACGGAAATTTGTTTAAGCTGCTCAATTTGCCGTAACGCCGTCTGTTTACAATGAAATTTCATTTGCCGTTTAATGCCCTTTCCCGCCTCTCGCACAGAAGCCCGAATCTCTTTTATCTGGGGAGGAGGGAACGGCACAGTACAAAAGGCCCACATGTAGCATAGATATTTCGGATCAAGTTGAGTGACAACTGCCAGTCGAGCGGCAACAACCGAAAAATACATATTTTTTTAGTTCTAGGATTTAGCTTTTCTTTTTTTGTGTTGTTCAATATATATGCTCTATAAATATGATTGTCAATTGAGCGCTAAGCAAATGCATTTCCCTCTGTGCATCGCACTTGGCGCACAAAATGGGGCGTTTTATGTAAGACGATAAATTAAAACATGAAACGTTTATACGCGACCATATGACGACTAGTGGTTTTGTGGCAGTGTCTGCTTTACTGATGCGATTCCTGCTGGATACATTTTATAATATAGCATGAATTGAATCATCAGGCCCTTTTTTACTTGAAATCCATTCTTTGTGCATCCATCATACGAGTAGTATGTGCCTGTAGCATTGTATATGCAAGAGAACGGCTTGGGAACAACATATCTCAAGTGCTTACAACAAAATACACTTATCAGCAATGAGCGTGTCAATTACAATCCGACTCTACCCTTCCAAGCTGGAGAGGAAAGTGGAAAGTGCCAACAGCCAGCAATGTGTCGGGTGTTGTGTAGTGCATTCAGTTAATGAGGCTCATTATTAATATGGCAACGATATGTTAACGTCGGGAGCCATGAGGAGCAGGCCGGCTGCAAAGGGAATTTACACGCGCTGCCCTGTCGTCAGGAAGATCAAAGAACAGTCTCCAGTCTCTCCAGTGGCAGTCGCCATAATGTGTTATGAGTTATTGGTGGAGTGGCAAACTGATCCGTTTCCTGGCCGCCCGATCGCTGGCTTGTCAGCAGCTGACAGCACCATGTCACAGCAATTTGCTCGATCTGTAGGTGTTCCATGTCAACTTCAGCGTCTCATGGCATCCCATGGCATCGCATCGCCACCAACCCGAGATGTCAGTGTAATGCCCTCTGACAGCCACTCAGATTGAATGCTCAAACACAAACTAAACTAAACTGGATACTATTTAGCGCTAGATTTATTTCGGGCATTAAATAGAGATCGCATTTCAGGGACAGAGTACCCCCATTCCCCCAGCGAGTCGGCGAGAAGTGCACTTAAGTGACTCAAGGGGACAGGCGCCGGATGTGCGCTATCATTGCCCTGTCCTCCTGCCCATGTTCCATGTCCCAGGCCCAGTCCCAGTCCCTTAGCTGGAGAAAAGTGCAAGTTATAAATACGAGTAGATACAGATACAATCCATGGAGTGGGAGTATCACGGTGTATGGGTAATTTCCCAAAACGATTTCTCCAGCCCTCCAGATAAGATTAGATTATGTGGCCAGCAGAGCACCATCGAGTGCGGGGAAAAGGCAAATTAGCCAACCATATCCAACCATCATAACCATAGCCATGGGCCAAATGTCATCAAACAGCGCACAGCCATCAGCACAATGCGACGTCCGCTCTCGCCGACACTGGCCAAGCTGGCCGAGAAGGAGGTGAACGAGACGCCAGACCGCATCCAGCAGGACATCATTATCCTGCGCGTGTGGATACGCCAGCAGCCGCATCTGCGTGCCCGCACCGACGACGACTTCCTGATTGCCTTCCTGCGTCGCTGTCGGTATAGCCTGGAGCAGACCAAGCGGCGCATCGATCGGTACTTTACCCACTACAACCTCTTTCCGGAGATCATGAACAATCGGTGTGTTACCCAGCGACTGCTGGACATCAACCGCTTGGGGTAAGCCATAGAAACCTTATCCATGATGTGGGAATC